ATTTTAGAGACCTTACTATCTAGTGAGAGGCCCAATTGCATTAGATGCCTGTGATACCTATGGTATATTGTAACAAACAGAAGGATAGTGATAAAATATGTGGAAGAGAAAAAAAAGTGGCTAAATGGAGAAGACTAGTAGGTGAACAGCAATTAGTGCATATATGCACACATTTAATTCCATGAGTACTTTTTAGCATTCAGTAGACAACAAAGTACAACCAAGGGCTAAACCCTGAGCAGGCATATGAATGATGTGATATCAGATAAACTGTGTCATAAAGAAATGTGAAGAAATATTTATAATGGGGTTAACTTAACCATAATGAAAGAAGCAATAGTTTGAGGGGTGTGGCATGAATCAGAACAAGATTCTGAGCTCCATGAACCATCCAGGACCCTGAAATCAGACAACATGAAAAGAAGGCAATATAGTCCATTTTAAAAAAAGAGGTACTTAGTGGATATCTTTTAAAGAAGAGGTCTGGAGACTAAAAGTCAAACATCAGATTGCTAGCATGATCAGGCTATGTAGGAACCTACATTTTGGTAGCAGACTCCTGACCTCTTGGATCTTCTTCACATTGAAGACATCAGCAGATGAAGCTGGTGACATAGCTAGATGTTAGAATGCTTGCCTACTATGTCTGAGGCTCTGAGTTCAATTTATGCTACCAGAAAAGAAAGAGAGAAGGGAAAATTCAAAGCAATGAGGCTGAGAGTGGGATCTTTCTTATAAAGTCACTACACTAAAATTACTTACTAGGGCTTCCCCTTCATCAACCATTTTCATCCCACTAACCCCACTTTTCACACCATCACATTGAGGGCTATGATTTCAGCACATGCACTTTGAGAGGAAGCAAATATTTGGCCCATTGCAGAAAAGTTCATTTCACTCTTCAGTTATGTTTTATTATCTACTCTCACCTTAATTTCTATTATTCATATCAGTAGAAGGTTCAAATCCCCATATAAGTAAGAGTTTTTATCTCATCAGGATCCACTTCTTGAATGGAGCTCTGTACTGACATTTTGCCTGCAGAGCTGGGTTCAGTGACAGCAGAGGTCATGGTCTGTATATTTTCTTGGTATAACTGCAGCTTTGACATGAGTTATCACTTAACTATAACTCTCTCTATATTTTTTTTGTGTGTATGAAATTTAGCTTATCATTGAGAAGGAAATAATTAAATATTTTTCACAGGACTGCATGTTAAATAAATTACCAGCTCTGCCATCAAATGAAAGCTCTGGATCTAATCTTAAGAAGGACGGCCTACCAGGTTATCATTTTACCAAAGCTTTATTTTTCCTCTTTAAGGGGAAGAATGAAAGAAAAATTCTTTGGCTTTTGTAACCATCTCTAAAAATAAAATTTTGTATAACTTTGAAAAAACCTGTCATAGCCCAGTATTGAACAGAAAAAAAAAATCCTGGCAAAGGAAGTGGAAGTTTAGGAATGCATATATAATGCTTAGTAAATTCTTTTTGAAAGTTAAAGGGCAGGCATGGTAACTGCCTCCAAAGTTTCCAAGTTTCCTTTACTACATGTGGTGATTCTTGGTTTCAGGTGTATATTATTGCACATTTACCTAATGAAAGGCAGTGAATGATATACCCACTGTGAGAGTAAAACAGAATGCCAAGAATGTTTCATAGCCTGTGTTATCACCTTCTGGACATCAAATAACAAGTTTTGAACCCACAAACAACTGTGACTCTGCAAAATGCAGCTGTCTGGGCATTGGTAAGAGCACTAGTCTGCATGTTATATAATTGCTGTTGAACAATTGTGTATTTAACTCAAAGGGCATCAGTTAAAGAGAAAACAAATTTCCAAAATGAAAGGGGGGGGAGCCAGAGACATACATACATACATACATACATACATACATACATACATGCATGCATAAATTCTATCCTAATTCAAGTGATCCAATCAAGAAGTGCTGGATACTCAAATACATCTAAAAGGTATGGCATCATAGTCTAGAAAAATGTTTTGTGCTGCACACCTTACTCCAAATACATTTTTTAAATTGTATTTTTCCCCAAAATACAATTATTTTAAAAACATGCTCACTCATCCATTCATCAGCTCTCTATTGTACCTTCTAATCAGTGTAGACCAAGTTACAACAGAACTGATATGTCCCAGGAAGATGAAAATGTTTCCTACCTGTTTCCCTGCTCATATAAATACAAGCTTGAACATAATTTTCATGTGTGTAACTACTCACTCAAAGACCTCAAGCTGTTCTTGAGCCTATGTGGGGATCACCTTATGGATATAAACGCAGAGCTGGAAAGAAGAAATATCATATTGGGGAAGCTTTGCCTCAAGTGAGATTTAAATGGTATTCTGTGAGGTCTATGATCACAAGCTGTGTTCATGTTCACAAAATGAGAAGCCAGGGTTAGGGTGGAAAGAGAAAGATGTTTCCTAAGTCCCTGTTCCTGCCCCTAGCTAAGTCCCCTAGCTAAGATGACAAGTGTACTACAAAGAAGTTGTCATTATTCCTTCTTAATAACATAATCATCCAAAGAGTGTTGTTATTGTGTTCCTCTCCTGCTACAGACCACCGAATTATGCAGTGAGAGCTCATCTGACAAATCAGGAAGCTTACCCACTGGGATCACACATTCTGATGGAGAAGGGCTACATGCAGGGTGGTGGGAGTATTTGCTTTATGAAAAGTCACTGTCCTAACTGTAAGAAGCCATAGCACTCCCTTTCTATGGTGAGTTTCATCCCCAAAACTCTAGCAGTGTATTAATAAATTACTGGGCACAATTTCTTCTATGTATTGGTGCAGTGGTAGACTCCCCCAGCACAGGGAGATTCTCTGGCAACAAAGTAATCACAGTCAATACATTCACTCTCTCAATCAGGTCTTTGTATAAACTTAGAAGTCTACCCTCCTGCAATTATCTTCTTTGACAGACAGTTGGCTAGTGTTAGTGACCAGGCAAAAGAGACTTCTGCTGTGATGGTCAAGGACAAGAATTTCTGCATGTCTGAAGTTGTTGAACTGTAGCTCTCAGAGAGATAGGGAACAAGAGTGTCCTGGATTCCCTCTGCCAGCAGATAGGAACATGCTGTCCCAAGGTAACTTTGTATTAACCTTAAAGCAAATTTTTAACTCTTTGTGCTTGTTTTCCCCAAGGTCTATTTGCTAGTCAGATTTAAGAAAATAGCAAAAGCACACATAGTCTCACCTTAGGTTTCCTTAATTTCTCTCTCTCTCTCTCTCTCTTTCTCTCTCTCTCTCTCCCTCCCTCCCTCCCTCCCTCCCTCTCTCTCTCTCTCTCTCCCTCCCTCCCTCCCTCCCTCTCCCTCCCTCCCTCTCTCCCTCTCTCCCTCTCTCTCCCTCTCTCTCTCTCTCTCTCTCTCTCTCTCTCTCTCTCTCTCTCTCTCTCCTTTCCCTTGATGAAGTTCTTGGACTTTTTAACCTTTCCCATCTTGAGTCATGGATAAAGGCTGACAGTTACCACTTTGTGTGAAACTTTTATCTGTGTCTATGACCCTGAAAAACTCTAGCCTTGCACAGTGCCATGGCTGGAGAGAGGGAGAGAGACAAGATGAAGGAGGTAGTAGCTGGAGGGAGAAGCTGGTAGAAGTTAGTGGAAATGTAAAAGGATAAAAATATAGGAAAAATAAGTAAGTAGGAAAATGAAGAAGCAGAAACAGCAGCAGCAGAAGAATAATGAATGAATGAATGAAACAGAGAATTAGATCAGAGCTCAGAAAATAAAGACAATTAGAACAAAAGAATTAGAGTAGAGAACTATAAAGAGAGAACAATAAAGAGCACAGGAATAGAATTAATGTGTTGTGAGGAGATTCTCTTCTATGGGCCTCAGACTTAGATCCTACACTTACTATAACATCTCTTTTTGAATTCTGAACAAAATCTTTTGAGGCCAGACCTTAAAGCTTTTGATACTCCCCTAACCTGTGCTGGAGTATCAGCACAGAGAAGCAGGTATTCAACATGAAAATGCTACAGTTAAAAATTGTCAAAATATTCAGAATTTAAACTCTTAGGAAGTACTATTTCCAGTTTTCCTTTGTACACTGCCTAGACTGTATTGGAACTGAGTTGTTTTCCAACTTCCTAATGCTGTGACCCTTTAATACAGTTCCTCATGTTGTGGTAACCCCCAACTACACAATTATTTTGTTGCTATTTCATAACTGTAATTTTTCTACTGTTAGGAATTGAAAATAAATATCTGATATACAAGATATTTAATATTTGACTCCCACAGTTTGAGAACTGTAATTTTTCACAAGTAATTCTTCACAAGTGCAGACCGTCCCAAAATTTGACATTGCTTTCACTTTCAAAGAATTTTCACCTTTGAAGAATGTAATGTTCTTTGAGGGTCTGTGAGTTATGGTGAACTCTGACAGAAAAAGCCTGCACAACTTTTTGTTCCCACTGAAAAGATAAAGATAATCTTAGGTTCCTATTTGACACTGGGACTTCTATCCAGACTGGAAATAGACCCAATGGCTGAATTTTTAAAGGTGGCCAAAAACAGTCTAGAGAGAGTGCCTGTCTCCCGAGCAGCACTCTGACCAGGGACAAAGATGTAGATTCTGGCAGCTTTGACCTGAAATTTCATAGCCTTCTCCCCCTAGCTCAACAGGAGAATTTTCTTTTCACAAATTTCCTGATTCCCAGTCTGTCAGAGAAATGAAAGTTTCATGGTAACATAAAAAGTCATGGAAAACCTAGAAGACTATAAGTGACTTTAAGTGTCCAGAGCAGTTAGTTGCAAATGCTCTCTTAGCACATGTTCGGCTTTGTAAACAAATTCATCTGTAAATAGTGAGCAGTCTTCAGGGCTGAGGTGCTGCTTCCTTAAGGATTTACATTTAAGGCAAAGACTCCCATCTTAGGTGTTATAAGACAGTAAGTAGTGTCCTTTCTGCCCTGCCCTGAGTCTGCCCATCCAGTCATATCCTAATATGCAAATGACACTTAGTGCATGCAGATAAAAAGGAGCAAGGGCTCTATTAGACCCAAATTGCTGAGCCTGCTGTCACCTGTGTTCCAGGAGCCAAACCAGCAATGTCTTTCCCTGCACATCCTGAAGTCCCTGCCCCGCTGGCCAACTTGAAGATTCAGTATACCAAGGTAAGATACTTGGAAGCAGGGCTTTCCGTGGAGGCCTTACTAAGGGCTAGGTCCATTGTGGCTTGTGCAAGAGCTTCCTGCAAACATAATATAAAATGCTTGCAAAGTTAGTGTGCTGATTCAGGGGAGAATTCTAAACCATACCAGACAACTTCTCATAATTTTCTATCTTGAAATGTGTCCAAGGGAAAATAATTTTATTCTGTATGAAAGGTTCTTGTGCTAGAGTGCAATGAGAAGCAGAGTGAGCAGCAGGTCTATTAACCCCTGCAGTGAGCACTTAGGGTAAGTCTGACAAACACAGTAACTTACTGGAGGGAATCAGGCAAGTAATCTCTCTCTCTCTCTCTCTTTCTCTCTCTCTCTCTCTCTCTCTCTCTCTCTCTCTCTCTCAAAATAGTACATTAAAACAGGATAACAAGACCATATATTTGCTGGTAGTGTTAAGGTTGGAGGACTTAACCTTGGACGTTGAACGAAGGCTGCTGTCAAACCTTCAAAACCCCCAAATGGACTTGAGCTAGTTTTCTTATTTCCAGATAGAAATGGTACTTGTTTTTTTTTTTTCTCCAGGAAAGTTTGCTGTTGTTGGAGAAAACATACCCTTGCTGGCTGCTAAATATTTAGTCACAAGAGCAAGAGCCTGACTCAGGCTTCTAAATCTGCATCCAGAGAGAACACATGATTAGGCTGGGCTAGTCATGAGGAACACTCGTCACTTTGCCTACTGAATGGCTCCATACCTACTTCTGTCATAGATCTTAGGATTCCAAAATTAAGAAAAAAATTACACACACACCCAACCAAGTTATTAGGCAAGTCACTTAAAAGTATCTGTGTTACTGTATGATATTGTAAATAAAATGAGAAACAAACTGTTCAACTCTCTAGAGAACCATGCTACTTCTGAACTAAACAATGAAATCAGAGAGTGTTCAAGGTAATGAGAAGAGCCCAATACTCTCACTCATGTATTTATTTCTCCTTGTGAGCAAACATAGGTGGGTTTTAACCACTAGAGTCTGTTCATTCTCCCAAGCATCTGAAGTGAGGGTGCTGCCTGGCTTTTGGGCCCTTTGTTTAAGACAAGGTCTGCAGAGAGGAATGTCCTTGGCTGTGGCCATTCCCTGAGGCATGATTTCACCCATGTTTTCTAGAGAGAAAATGCTTTCAATTTAGATTTTGATAAAAAAAAAAAAAAGAATATGCCAACTATGATGGGCCCATACTCTCCAACAGAACATATTTGTCAAAGGTGGGTGCACACCATAGACTATGTCCCCCTCCCCATAACTCTTCTCATTTGTAAGAAATTCTTGTCACAATGTACAAATCAGGTATTCCATTTTCAAGTCTTGAACTGTTTCCTTCATCCATTTAACTTTTTTTTTTCTTGACTTTCTTTAAAGGATTTATTGATTTCTTCCAAATTTTTTTTGTTTGTCCTTTCCTCCACATCTTTAAGGGAAATTTTCATTTCCTCTTTAAAGGGCTCTATCATCTTCTCATTAAGTTAGTTCTAAGGGCATTTTCTTCTGTTTCATCTGGGTTGAGATGTTCAGGTATTGCTGTTGTAGATCCATTAGTTTCTGAATGGTGCCAGATTTCTCTTTATGTTGTTGAACATATTCTTACCCTGCTGTCTACCCATTTCTTCCTCCAATCGGTGCAGGTGGGGACTGTGGCTCCTAGGGTGCCTGGGGATGGTTGGTGGGGGGGTAAGGCGGGAGGGTGAGGGTGAGGTGTGTGGGGATCCTTATAGGTCAGGTATTTCCAAGAATATGGGACTTGTCCACACTGCTTATGTAGTTACATTTTAATCACTAAGCAGAGTTTGGTAAGGTATTTTGGTTGTCAGGGTGTCCCTCCCCCTTTCCTTATCACTTATTAATTTTGCTAAGACTTTCTTTGTGTTTCTATGTCTGTGTGTGTGTGTGTGTGTGTGTGTGTGTGTGTGTGTGTACCTCAAGGGAGTTTTAAAATGAACTGTCTTTCCTCTGATTTGTTCCATTTAGCACGCATTAATTAAAAATGAGGTGAAAGTACTAGAAAAATGAGGTATTCCTTAAAGTCCCATGTACAAGGACAGGACCAGTAATCCCTTAACAGATGTTTCCAGATTGAAACCTCTTCACTGAAAACACATTGTATAAGGACATCAGAGGGAGAATGATGGGCCTATGTATTTAAGAGTCAATAACAAATTTGTTTGTTGTTCATATTCTTAAAAACAAGCAATGCCACTCAGTCCATGTTGATTTTTTTCCATGTATTTTCTACATAAGTCTGGTCTACGCCGTAAGCGTTATACCATTTGATGTGTTGGTTACAGCATTTTCACACTTGGGAGGACGCCAGTTATGTATGCAATTAAATCTCAATGGGGAGCTTTCTCTATGCCTGTTCATGGTCCTTTTACTGTGTCCCACTGAAGAATTGTATTAGGTTCACACTTTCTACAGGGGTTCAAACAATGGCTGTTAACTTGGGTTTCAATGCAGAAAAGGTAGGGCTTAGAAGTATTTGTCAAATTGCTTTGCCTAACCAGTGTCTTAGTTTCTGCATTATTTTCCTGTTTTAATTTTCTTCTTTATTATTGCAAGAGGCATATGGTATTGATACTACAGAAACTCAGGGTCATCTCTTGGGGTTCTCAGTCTCATTAGTGGAATAATTTATGGGTATAAACAATTGGAATTTGGAAGACTATTCTTATAATTTATAAGAAAAACTCAAAGGCAAGCCAGATGTAAAACCTCAGCAGCTGCCTAGAGAAGGAGATTGGGAAGAAGAGGGGAACATTCTTGTCACTCAAACTGGCAATGGAAGTGGAACATACAGACAGTAAGGAGCCACATGGAAGTCAGGGAAGTTTCTAGGGAGGGAACAAGGAAGTCCAAAGTGATGGGAGAAAAGACAAACTGTAAATAAAAGCATTCTCAGAGGAGAGATAGACAGAGGGAAAGTTATTCTCTTCTGAATAATTCAGAAAAGTCATCAGACTTACTGCCCTACAGTGCTGTAGTTCAAACTTCTGCATTAGGGGTGTGGTTTTGGGGAAGAAAAAGTACAGTGTCTCTTTAAAGGACTATTTATTATACACACTAATCTCTTTAGTTTGGCTTAAGGTGAGCTCGGCTTCCTCAGCATGGTCCTTTGTCCAAAGATATTGAATCAGCCCAATTGTACTATTACATCTCCACCCAGGTCAGAGGTTCTATTCTTTTCACCAGGAGATGTTTGGAGCACAAGAAAGGGAACACATAAGCAGATTAATAACTAAAAGAGAAAGAATAATAAAGGTATAGTCAGACAGTTATGTAATCTTAACCTTCAGAGTGCTTTTGTTGTACACACAAAACAAAACGGAGTCAAATGCATGTAATGAAAAGCAAGGGTGTAAATATTGAATTTTAGACTCTTCCCAGTGCTCTAAGGGTGTCTCTCCTAGTTACTATGTCTTAGTGACACACACCTGAATTTCCAGTTGCCTAACATCTACGCTTCTTTAGGTGCTAAATGACACACACACATGAACATTTTTTTTTTTTTGTTTTGTTTTTGTTTTGTTTTTCGAGACAGGATTTAGCTGTCCTGGAACTAGATCTTGTAGATCAGTCTGGCCTCAAACTCACAGAGATCCACCTGTCTCTGCCTTCTGAGTGCTGGAATTAAAGGCATGTGCCACCACCGCCTGGCCCTCATGAACAATTTTTAGACATCGAAAGACACATAATATTTAGGCAACATTTAAAACATCAACACTAGTTTAACAAACCCTCTAACTTACTGCATATTTAAATACTTTTTATCTGTCTTTGCTTCATTGCCACAGATCTTCATAAACAATGAATGGCATGACTCAGTGAGTGGCAAGAAATTTCCCGTCATTAACCCTGCAACTGAGGAGGTCATCTGCCATGTGGAAGAAGGGGACAAGGTAAGTTCCAACACCCTCAAGTACAATTTATACCAGGAGTCTTTGCTTCTCGCTGTTCTGAGCTCAAAGTCTACAGCAAGTTCAATGAAAGACATGAAAATATAATTTCTCAGGAAGTTGGGTAAATGTTCTGTTGTCCTTGGCCTAAGAAAATTTGCCACATATACATCTGGTAGAGAATAAATATCCATAATACACAAGAACTTTAAAAAAAGAAACATAAAGAGAACAAGAAACCAATAAATAAATAAATAAAATCACAGGCTATTAGATCAAATGTTAGCATTTCTAATGTTACCTTGGAATCTAGAGTAGGGAGGTGGAGTCCAAAATATCCATGGTCTTAAGTTATTACAACATAGTGAAGTATGAGCTATTAAATAACTTTTTTTTAAGGAGTAGCACTAGTATTTAATATGGGGCATAGAGTTTTAATAGAGTAACATATTTAGGGTACCTGTCAGCTAATCATGCTTTCTCCTTGATGATTAAAATTACATTAAAAAAGAAGACTATGAATCTGTAGATTTCAGTTAACAAAAAGTGCACATGTGTACATGCAGGCTGTTGAGTAGGTGGCATCAATAGCAAGGACCCAGCTGAGTCAAGGAGTTCTTGGTACCTGGCACACACACCAGGCATCAGACAATAGCTTGTTCAGAGGCTATGCCATTACAGTCTTAGGTGTCCATCATTTATGGGGTCAGGCAAGGGAGCTGCACCCTTTCCTGGGTGTCTGATAACTTCTTTCTCCCTTTTCCTTAATTTGATCTTAATATGCCCACTTGTCCACACACTTTCATTTCTCCCCATTAAACCTATAGGATGGCTCCATTTCTATCCCCAGGATAGTTATTAGTCAGGTTGTGCTAGGTAGGTGGGATTTAGTGGAGTTCCTGGGTCTACCTGAGTCCTGGAACCACTCACCCTCAAAATGGAGTCAAAAGCTTCAAATAAAATGAAATCTCACAAGGTCATGCACAGGCTGAAAAACTCAACAGCTGTGACCATATTAACAGAGCAGTGCTATTCAACTTCACTGTCCAGAAAATTGAATGTGGACATAGGATATAACATGAAGTGTTGGTTCTAATTTTTCTGTGTTTCACTAACACAAGGTAAGGTCTCCTTCCTTATCACTAAAACAGGATCTGTGATATTTAATAGTAACTTGCAGGGATAAAGAACTTGTCTCCCTTTTTAAAGCTTAACTGGCTCTTGACTATTATCTGCCACCACTAAACTGGGTGTCTAGTGACCATTGTGGTAGATTGTTATGTTAAAATAGGCCTCAAAAATGTGTAAGAATTTGGAAGCTAATGGGCTTTCTGGTAGGAAATTTTCTATGCAAAGAGAATTTCAGTTGCAAAAGTGAGAAGGGCTGGTCAGCTGGAGTAGGAGAAATATGAACAGGAAGTTTGTGCAAGTGAAGTCTTTACAGAAAATGTTGGACCTTGAAAACCAAACAGAGAGTGTTGGTCTTTGCTCTTAGGATTGTGGGTAAAGCCAGCAATTGGAGACACTCAAAGGAATGTGATAAGATAAAATGCATGAATGTTAACATGGTAGCATTCAAAAGAGCATGGGAAGTGGAAGAATGAATGGGAGGCTGTTTACAACAGACAGGAGTAAAGAACTATGCAGTAGAGGGTAGAAAAGCTGAAAGAATATACTAGAATGGACTGGGATGCTGTCATCATTTTTACATTGGATTATCTTCTAGTTAACCCCATCTTGTGAGCATTTGGCACATCTGCCACATAGAAAATGTGAGACAGCTGTGAGTTTAAAGATAAGAATGATGAATCTCAAACAAGTTGTGGCACAATGTACTTCACTTTAGAATAGAGTGGACCATCTGTACCCTCAGATTCTACATTGGTGACTTCAACCCTCAGCTCTGAAATGTGTAGCTGCTGACATAGATTATGTGATGAGACTGTGTGAACACTGAGTGGGCAGACAGTTTTGGCCATTATTATCGAAACAGTGCAGTTTGTCTACTACTTACCGAGCATTTGTACTCAGTATCAGAAGTATAGTTACTGGAACGATGTCTGAGGGCTTATATATAATACTACATATGTTTAGAATTCATGAATTTAGATTATCTTTCCCTGATTTGGGGAAACAGTTCTTATGGGATACTAAGGGAGGCCTGTATTTACCTAGATGTTCCATTCCCAGAATTCCCCTTGTGTTTTCTCTCTTGTTTCTATTTCATTTTCCAGTCTTGAATAGTTTCTTTCACCTATTTATTTGTTTTTTTTATTGGCTTTCTGAAAATATGACATGCTTCAAAAATTTGCATGTCATCCTTGTTGAGGGGCCATGCTAATCTTCTCTGTATCATTCCAATTTTAGTATATGTGCTGCTGAATATAGCACAAGGCCTGTGTTTATAATAAAATAGTGTGATATTCAGTTATATGTTCCTCTCATCTAATGAATATTTCAGAACAAACTCTTGACCAATATGGTGGATGGGCATTTGGATGCCTCAAAACTAAACTGAAGAACTCAGAATTTTTTTTATTTTTAATTATTCACTGCCTTTAGTCTGTTCCTGGTCCTGCATGATTAAACATCTGGTTTGAGAAAAGGAGTGCCATGACCCAAATGACAAAACTGCAAGAACAAATTTACTTAGAAGAGTTTTCTGTAGTCAGGTTTTGTCGTTGCTGGTTTTGCTTTTTACATACATGGTCTTATGATGTCTCAAAGTCATTTCTCTCCATTCCTTGAAGAGACAAGGGAGCTTAAGAGAGCTCTTATTAAGCAAAGGCCAATGATAGAACACTGAGGAGAGGGATTGACACAGATTTGTGTCACACTAGATTAAAATATGTGGTTTAAAAACAACAGTGTTCTCATTCTCATGATTCATTGCAACAAGATGTACCCCGTTGTTCTTTGGATCATCTTGGTTTGTGGAGTTCCATGAGTTGGTGAGTCCTATAGATAAAAAGTCTGTGGAATAGTCATTGCATGCCTGCTATTTGCAGCTGATTTGATGAAGTTAAAAACAAATCACGGCAGAGTGCAGAGAAAAGAAAGGAGCAGTAATGCTTTCAGCAGGTTGACTGGAATATGATAAAGTAACAACTGTTAGAACAGCACTTCTAGGAGTTGAACTATTTGATAATGATATGGAGCTTACTTGAACTATTACTCAAAAATCATTATAACATATCTGTGGTGCAGAGGGTGAGAAATGTTCTGGACTTTGGGCTAATGAAGATCTAGCCTCTGCTTGTGAGGACTGTGTACTAGTTTACAAGACTGTGATGTTGTTTCTGCTCATCTAGTATTTTGAATATCCTGAATTGAATACTCCCATGATTTCTAGGCAGATGTTGACAAAGCTGTGAAGGCTGCACGACAGGCTTTTCAGATTGGCTCCCCATGGTGCACCATGGATGCTTCAGAAAGGGGGCGCCTACTCTACAAGCTGGCTGACTTAATGGAAAGAGATCGTCTGCTGCTGACTGTGAGTATTCACCAACACCAATGGGAGACAGTGGAGAACACCATTCCAAGTGGCCAGTCAGTTTGGTTTAGAGTCAGACTGGCAAACTTGTCCCTGTCCTTTTCTAGAACTTCTTAGATTCCAGAACCCAGTTTTTCTACACTCATTATAGGTCTTTATGCTCTCTGGGCCTGCATTTTCTAATTTCAATAGTTAGATAAGTCAGTATAGAACATGGATGGAAGGTCCATTTCCTTGTCTTTTCAGCTTTGGATTTTAATAAAGCTAACTGAAAACGAAGAGGCCCATAGGTTACAACTCAGAGTAAATGTTACTAGCTTTAGAATCTTAAGTGATAATATGATTCAAACCTTCATTTTTATAAAAAATATCAACAATTGAGCAATTATTGGGTATCACTTATTCTTTAAGGATTCTGAATTGTTCAAAACATGTCAAAATAGAATTCATAATTCTGTTATAAGTCTATACAAACTGAAATGTTCTGCTGAAAGTAACTGGCATTTCCCAAAGTTTAGCTCTTCATTTATCTTAATTGCATAGTGAAAAGTGTTAAGTTTTTCTGTGGGCTTGAGAGCCATAGGGAGAGGAGAATAAATATAAGAGAGTGGACAATATCAAACCTGTGCATCTTGCCAGGTGACTTCCCAGTAGACTGTATTATTTCAAAGCATCCTTTAAAGTCTGCATAAAAAGGGAAGGAGAGGATGCTGATGAGATAAGAACATGTGGAACATCATAATCTTTTATTTTTCCTTTATGTAAAATAGATGTTTTTCTTGTACAATATATCCTGTTTATATTTCCTCTCCCTTTATTCCTCCCAGTTTCTCACCCTCACATAGGGATCCACTCCCTTTCTGTCTCTCATTAGAATAGAACAGATTTCCAAGAGATAACAACCAAATATGACAAGAAACCATAATAACATAAAGTTAAAACCACCATCTTGATGTTGAACACAAACAGAAGGAAAGAAACCCTAAGAGCAGCCATAAGAGTCAGAAATTCTCTCATTCACACAGTCAGAAATCCCATAAAAATTACTAAGCTAGAAGCTGTAACATATATGCAGAAGACGTGGTGCCGACCTGTACAGGCCCAGTGCTTGCTGCTTCAGTCCTGGTGAGTTCGTATGCACCTTGCTTAGCTGATCTAGAGGGTCTTGTTTTCCTGGTGTCTTCCATTTTCTTTGGCTCTTATATTCTTTCTGCCTTCTCTTCCATGTGGTTCACTGAGCTCTGAGAGAAGGGATTGTTGAAATAATTTTAAAAATAGTACCCAAATGGCAGTTTATAGTTTAAAACTCTGCTATAGCAAATCCCTGATGAAAGACACAGTCAGATGACAAGCAAAATCTTGTTGGAACTCTGATAGGAAGTGGATACTGAGAATCATTTTCATAGTTGTGAACTTAAATAACCAGTGCTTAGATTCTGCTTAGCCAAAGGTTCTTATAATCTGAAAGAAAGATTCGGGGGGGGGGGAGTGGGTGGGTCAGGCAATCAGAATCTCACCTCCTCTCTCACCAGTATTATGTGACCACAAAAAGACATTTGATTCTTTCCTAAGTTGTTTTCAAAGGAACATTAGAGTAAAGAGTCCTTTTATTTCCCAAAAGTCTCTAGTACATAAGCTCTAAAATGATTGACTATATGTCCTTGATCTAATTTTTATTGTTGAAAGTTTAGACTTTGATATCACTATCTGTTTTTCAGACAATGGAGTCAATGAATGCTGGGAGACTCTTCACCCAGGCATACATGATGGATTTTGAGATCATCATAAAAGCACTGAAGTACTGTGCAGGCTGGGCTGACAAGATTCATGGTCAAACAATACCAAGTGGTAAGTACGTTGAGGAAACTACTAGCATGATAGTAGAGGTAGGCCATTAGTGAAGATCTCTCTGGTAAATGTGTGTACCAACTAGGTAAATAATTTCTTCTTTACATTGACCCAACACAGTTCTGATGCTGGAAGTTCTGTTAAAAGTCAACATCACGGAGAGTTTAGTAAGAACATTCTCATAGACTCAGCTACTAATCTGAGTGAGGTATCTCAGGATCCTAAATTTTCAAAGCTGGCCATGGAAATTATGTTTTGACTCCATTTCCATAATGACATTTATATATCTTCTGTAATAGTATTACCTAAGACTTTGCATGTCCAGAATGAGTAGGCTGCGCCAATCTGTGCCCATTTAAGCCCAGTATACTTAGCCCAGTGTTCTTCAACAACCCAATTTACACAAATGTGTTCCCAAAGCAACTACACAAGGTGAGATAATGATTACCAGGTGAGTTAAGAACCTTTGCATGGAAATGTTATGTATTACTTAGTGAGATATACAAGTAGCAGAGCAGGCACATGACAAATATTTCATGTTAGAAAAGAATAAGTTTGGGAAGGATTGGAGGCAGGTTTACATCTTTACCTATAAAGACTTTAGGAATGCAAACAATCCGCTTCAAGTACTGTCTATGATGGGCATTTCCAATCTAACTGGAAGATACAGTATAAGAGGTGTTTACCAGGAAGTTAGAAGATGAGAATAAGCAACAGGGGTACTAGGAAGGGGGTTGTTTTGTGACTCTTAGGAAGCATAGAGGAAGACATTTTAAGTTCCTGTAGATTTTGACAGGGAAAGTGCTGGTGTCATAGCAGGTTTCTGTGGAAGCCAGAACAAAACATACAACTCCAAATGGGGCCAAATCAAAGTGAGTGTTTGCTATGATAAAACACCATGACCAGAATCAACTTGTGAAGGAAGGGGTCTCTTCCACTTGGATTTCCACACTATACTCCATCTCTGAGTGAAATAAGGGCAAACATTGAGGGCAGAAACCTGGAGGCAGTAACTGAAGCAGAGGCCGTGCACACTATAGTGTACATAGGCTTGCTTTTTATGGCTTACTCAGCCTTATTTCTTATACATTCCAGGACAATCTGCCAAGGGATGACACAGTTCACAGTGGGCTGGGCCATCCCACATCCAACAATATTTGAGAAAATGCTGCATAGACTTGCCTACAGAGCAGTCTGATGGAAGCATTTTCTCAATTAAGATGTCCTCTTCCAAGATATATTTAGGCTTGTGTTGCTAGTGAGGCATGAGAGTCAGTCAAATCAAGATAGGAAAAAAAAAACAACAAAAACAAAAACAAAACAAAAACAACAACAACCCCCCCCCAACACACACACATTTCACTTTAGGTACATTATTCATGGAATAAGGGATTGCATTTATGTTTTGTAGGAATAAAGGAAACTCCAAAACTGGAAGAACTCTAGAGAAAGATTTCTCACTCCTTGGAGAAGTTTTATTATTTTAAATTATTTACCTTTTAAAAGTTGGTGCTAATGGGACATTTGAGATCCTGCAAACATTTGCATGTGGCTCTGCCCTCCCTGTGAGAGGACATCACCTCTCAGTTCTTTCTGTACTGCTCTTATGAGAGTGACATGGAAGGCAGCCATCTTTGAATACAGGGAATGGAGTTAACTGCCTATTGGGTCTTTCTCAATCTTGTCACTAATTTTCATGTACCCCAGTCTTTAGACTGAAATTGTCTGAGGACGCTGTTGTTTATGTTATGAACTTTATAGATAGGATATTTGTTTCCCTTTTGCTACTCCCTGTGGGCTTCCTCTTCTACCAACTATGCCTCACTCTGCCATGCATGTTACCACATTTGCCTTTAGTGTATGGCATGTCTGCTCTGTTTTCTAGATGGAGATAATTTCACTTACACAAGACGTGAACCTATTGGGGTGTGTGGCCAAATTCTCCCTGTAAGTTCTCCTTCATGACTCCAATGGGGAAAAGGAAGCAGTAATTCCATTTGATCTGAAGCCCATCCCCACACAACCGAAGCTTGTGTGATGGTTATGTATGAAGTGAATTCAATAATCTTGACTGCCTGAAAAATATATTCCTGTAACTTTGCTTCTTGGATATGGGCTAGCTGGAGCAGATCCCCCTCTATATGCTGCTATACCTTTGAGGGTGTGCCAAATAAGCCTAAGTGTTTACTGCATGTGTTGTTTTGGAAATTCTGCTATGTTCTAGTTTCATGAGCTGTGCTTGTAAGCATGTGACAAAGGCTTATCACGGCTCATCTGTGCTTGGACATGTCAGGGCACACAGCACCTCTGTTTGTTCATTGAGACTTCCCACTGTGGATAGTAGTAGCAGCAGCAGCAAGTTGTTCAAATCGTGGAAATGTCTTTTGATTTAAATGGAAGGAATAACCTCCATGAAAACTGGAATAGTGTGTGGCCTGTATTGTATCTTTAGGTAGCAGGGTTGGGGACTCAAAATTCTTCCACCAAAAAATCATGTTCTAGATGTAACCAGATTTCCTCTAAGGTTAACACAGGACAAATAGCCATATACAGCTGATTTGTTATAATTTAAAAGACTAAATTAAAACACTGTGTAGTGTTCTGAAGCTTTTGAACTAATGGTGACTCTTGTTTAGAGTGACTGAACATATCGGTGTATTTTTTGGAACTGTTCAGTAGTTCAAAGGCTTAAAAAAACACTCAAACACACCTATATCACTCTATCTGCTAGGAATACTGGATAAGTTTAATATTAGCTCCCCTGTTCACTCTCTGGATGTGACACCTCTTTGCCTTTAACAATGCTGTTTGTCCAGCTGACCTGAACAAGGGGAGCTCATGGACCCCAGACTGATAGCTAGGAAACCAACATAAGACCCACCCAGACATGGGTTTCAGTTAGGAAGCCTGGGAATTCTCAATGGAACCAGGATGTATCCCTAGTGCAGGAACATACTTCTGGAGCCATTCCCCATGGAGGGATACTCCCTTAGCCTAGAGACATGGGAAAGGGCCTAGGCCTTACCCAAAGTGACTTGACAGGCTTTGATGATCCTTTATGGAAGGCTTTACCCTCTCTGGGGAGTGGATGGGGTGTTGGGGTTGGGGGCATGGGAGGAAGGGAGAGATAGGGAACTGAGATTGATATGTAAAATAAGAAAAATGTTAAATAAAAAATAATTAAAAATAAAAACAGAAAACAATGCTGTTTGTCCTGGGCTGAGCCTAGCTCATTGATATGGAGAATACATTCAACATGCTTAAGTCCCTGGGATCACTCTCTAATGCACCCACATGCGTGTGCACGCACACACGCGTGCGCACGTGTGCGCACACACACACACACAATCTCCTAGATAAGAATTTTCATAATTTTAAAGTACAGTATGTGCCTTCTAGAGGGAAAGTGAATTACAGCTTCCTTAACTATATAAGAAACCATGCAGTAACAGTTCTCTTGCAAAATAAGAATTCAAAATAACAGGACTTAATTAGATTTGGTAGTTCTTTCCCATTCCTTTGTCCTATCTAATTTGTTTTGTTCTTTTTATCATTTACTAGTTTCTTTTGTGAACTTAAGTAAAATAAGCTAGATAATTATACACAACTTCCAAAATATTAGTCAACTTTCATCAGGGTGGCAAGAATCAATAACAAACATGGTTCTGAGCAATGCAAACTGTTCATTGTCCAATTTTGCTTTTCAGTGGAATGGTCCCTTGTTTATGTTCATTTGGAAGATAGCCCCAGCCCTCAGCTGTGGGAACACCGTGATTGTCAAACCAGCAGAGCAAACTCCTCTCACTGCCCTTCACATGGCATCTTTAATAAAAGAGGTGAGTCTCCAGAGTCACAACATGCAGGTAAATTCAGGGTCTACCTCCCCTCCCCGATTTACCGTACAGACTTCACTACTGCTACAGTGAGTGAGCGTCACTATTCACACATGGCTGATGCCCACTCACAGGTGATGAATGCTGCAGAGCTACAGTCTGTGACTTTTGTCAGCCATCACGGATGAGTCTCTGTCTAAATAATGACAGAAGCTTATAGCCAGTCATATTATATCTAGTTATTCACATTATTCAAATCTCATGAACATAAGTTTGAGAAAATATAATATTTTCTCAAATAATTAAATATTGAGCTATATCTTCCCCATTCAGCTTATAACTGGCCTAGTTGCTTCTTATTTTGAGTTTTATTATCTCTAATGGTTAGTGGTTTCTATGCTAATATGCCTGCTGTGCCAATATGTTTCTAGTCCAGCTGGTGGTAACAATAAATTCTATCTTTCTGCATAAGTAATTTAACATACACTCCTATAGCCTATCAATTTGAGTTATTTTTATAAAATTTGACACAGGTAATCATTGGGGTGATGAATAGTTGTCACAATTTTGTTGTCAACTTGACATAGCTAAGGAGCGGATATCTCATATGAGAAATTGTCTTTATCAGATTGATCTGTGGCTATGCGTGTGGTGTATTTTCTCGATCATTGACTGATGTGGTAAGGTCCAGGTCACTGTGGTACTATCCCTAGGCAGGTGGGCCTGGCTGTGTAAGAAAAGTAACTGAGCCAGCCAGAGAAAATATGGCAGACCATTTCTCCATGGTCTGTGCTTTAGTTCTTGGCTCCAGGTTCCTTTTTTTTTTTTTTTTTTTTTATGCATATAGAATATTTTTTATTTAATTTTATATAACAAAGTCCAATTAAATGAAAACAAACATTTATACACAATATTTGGGAATTTGGGCGTCGTTCTTTCCAAACTACTTCCTACTGGTAAGGGGCGCTGTCTTGGGGGATTCGAAGAAGATTCAGATATCCTAGCTGTAGTCTGTAGGGCTGTTTTGTCCAGCTGTTTGGAATGTAGGATCAGCTTGTACTGTGTTTCAGGCGGTCTGGTGTGATCAAACCACATTAGTCTGGAGCTCCAGGTTCCTACATTGGCTTCCCTCAACAATAGACATAACCTATAAGCCAAATAAACCCCTTCCTTCCCAAGATTGCTTGGGCCAATGTTTTATCATACCAAATGAGAGACAACTAATACACCAGTGGTGACAGATTTTTCCTTAGAACGTGGTGTCCTAAGGGATTGCTACATCAGAGATATTTTCATATGAATAAGACATTATAAACAGTAATGAATAAAGGACAAATATACTTAGGTATGTTTTCTTGACTCCCAGAGTTAGCATAATGAAACAGCATTAGTCTCCCTCAGATCTTTCATGAATTAAATTCTTGATCTACTAACTGCTTGCTTCTTAATTTACAGGCAGGATTTCCTCCTGGTGTGGTGAATGTTGTCCCTGGTTATGGGCCAACTTCAGGGGCAGCCATCTCCTCTCACATGGATATTGACAAAGTGTCCTTCACAGGATCAACAGAGGTAGGTCCTGAAGGTCTTATCTCTACCAAGGAGAAGCAGGGTCCTTGCAGGCAACACTTTCTTTAAAAAAAGTTGCTTTGGCGCTTTGTTATGCATTCTAGACTATAAACATGTTTATCACAAGTGGATGACTTTTAGACAGAAGAAAGTTTCTGTTACTAATGTGGAAAGACTATAGTAAGCAAATTTTAGTGTAATCATTGCCATCTCTTAGGAGAAATGTAGCCTTTGTCAGAAGAGTAGTAAAGTGTATGGTAGGAAATACAACTTAGGCCACAGTGATTTGAACAAATCAATGTAATTACTGCCTCTAGATTAAGAAAAGTAATAGATTTTGTTGACCCCTCCTGGAAGGCACCACCCTCCCTGTGGAGTGGGGGGGTGGGTGAGAGGGTGGTCAGAGGACATGGGAGGGAGGGAGGGAGAGAGAGAGGGAGGGAGAGAAGGAGGGAGGGAGGGAAAAGGAACTGGAATCAATATGTAAAATAAGAAAAAGCAAGCAAGCAAGCAAGCAAGGAAGCAAGCAAGCAAGCAAGCAAGGAAGCAAGCAAGCAAGCAAGCAAGCAAGAAAGAAAGAAAGAAAGAAAGGAAAAGAAAGAAAGAAAGGAATGGTAACATCTCACCTCTAGCTCCTTGTTTGGGGCTCTGGCTACCAAGCATACCCTGAAAGGGAGACACATTCTACTTTCTTTCAAGTTCCCGCTAGCAGAGCTTTGGTTTTCTGTGTGCCAGGCTACATTAGATGACAGTTGAAAAACAGGAATCAGCCCCAACTGTAACAAGACTCAGCAAGAGGAGAGAGTACTAGAGAAAGAGTTGAGAAACATATAATTCTGGGGATTGAATGAGTTTCTGTTACAAACAAAGGAGTATGTAGGTATTAAGCTATTTCAAACAAAGCCATATTTGAGTCACTCTGTGAGGTTGGAATGTTGTTGGCTATTGACAGAAAAGATACTGCATGACTCATTGGTATGCATGAAAAAGTGAACATGGATAGACCTTTCTAGGGTACAGCCTCTGCTCAGGTTCAGGTCCTGAGATAGGGAAGGGGTAAGAGGGAAACTTGTGACCACCAAGTAGGTTGAACTCAAGTCACCCCAAATAGCTCAGGCTGTCTTTATTTATACTTAGAGGTTTTCTTACCAGGGTTACATGAACAGCTTTATTATTGGCTTCTATTTTTGACTTAAGAAACACATCACAAATTAAGGAATACATGGTAATAATTATGAAATCCCCCATTGTTCCTCTTTATGGTTCCCCAAATACAGCTTCAAAATCCCTGCATAATCTTATTCTAGACAGAGTTTATCATTTTTTTCAGACTTAACTAAATCAAGCCAGACACATCCTGCTCTGGCAGCACTAATGTCAGCTGACAGCTACTTGTGGTTACAAAGTTAAAAAGTAATAGACATGGGCACAATGCTTTAAGGTCAACAATATCAAATCCAGACAATTCTTTCATTTCGGCAAGCCATTCTTTCCTAGAGTTGCCTTTTCTACAAGAGAGTCCCATGTATCAACCTTTCTATAAATGGCAGACCTTAATAAAGCACACTCTTATCATCTCACCATACCACACTTCTACCAATATAAGTTCCTGTGCTTATATTCCTCATTTTGCATTGTAGTTTTTCCTCATCAAGCATACAATATCCTACTAATGATTCTATGCTTGATATCCAGGGAACTTTCAGTAGTTGGCACTATGTGTATTCCTGAGGTTTTCCCCCTTTTCTGTGTATGCACACCTTACTCGCCTCTCCAGAACTGTGAGACATGGTTAATATTCTAAGTGTTATTTTCTCATATGTACAAAACTGTTTTTATTGAGTCCAAAAAGTTTCCAGGATTAGGAGTTGTAGTTAGTAATCAAAAAAGAGATTTGAGAAGCATTCGCTCCCTGTTGAATCTTCAGGAAAAATATTCAAGAAAGAACAGAATTCCCAAGGAAAATTACAGCCATTGCATGTGTGACTGAAGAAGTAAAACTAAAAATCACCCAAAGGATCATCACTATAATGAGAGAAAAGAGCCTGAAGCCATACAAATTTAGCAAATTCCTGTGCTGTCCTGTGGATTACTGGTCTTTACCAAGTAAGAGTCTGAAACCTGTTGTAGTTAGTCATATGCTGATATGAGATTAGGCTGCATGGCTCCCATCAATACCTCACTAGGCTGCCAACACGAGAAATAATAGAAGGTGATTTGGTACTTAAACTATTCTATTCGATGGACCAAGGCATGAAAACTCATCCAAACATGGAATTTATTTGAGGTTTTAAGAAAGAAATGTGCCTAGTTAATTGAGAATAAGTTCATTTTTTCATAATTGCAGTTAGCTACATAGATGTTGTTTTAAAACTTCACAGAGAATTGAAATAAGGCATTGAGTTTTGATTTTCTTCACCTTTTCAAATTTTTTTTTGTAGGTAATAGAAAGACAGTTTATCATGTAAATCTCTGAGATAGGTAAAATCAACCATACATTCAAGAATTTCTTTGGAAAAAAAAATGCATGATGGTACTCAACACATGATGATAGCTTTAGTTATGGTGATGCAGTAAGCAGGCTGATAGCGAAGTATATCAAACAGGCAGGCCAGAAGGAAGCCTAGAATTCTACATCTTTTGTAACAGGGATGCTATGAGTACTTCTGAACCCATATCCTAGGGCCCCTTCTCCAGTTTGCTTCTGCCAGAGGCTGATGCTGCTTGAGCCTGGCAACAGCTTTGTTCTGCAATTATCTTAACTAATCCTCAGCTTGGTGTCGTTTTGCTATCCCTGTAATGCTATCCCCATGCCCATTTACTTTCTGAAAAATAAACAAGGAAATTAGGAGACTAGGCAACTTCTGGCTTTGAATAAGAAGGGTATGTCTCAGAAAACAGAAGAATCCTTTCCCAGTTTGGCATTCTTTATTTGAAAAGCACTCATAAGGATTTCGAGCACTTGAGAGGTAGAAGTGGGATGATACTAGGTTTCAGGTCAGACTAAGATGCATAGGGAGATACTCTTAGAAAGTGAAAGAAAAAAACAAAAGAAAAAGAAAGGCCAGAATGCAGGAAGGACTAGAGGAAGAGGGAATAGAGAAGGAACTGTGAAAGAATAATTGGGTATAAGTTAATGTTTAGGGTTTCCCTAAGCATGTTCACTATTTATTTATTTCTACTGATCTAATTTCAGAGTTAAATTTATTAATAAAATATTTAAAAGATTGAAAATTTTAGCAAATCAATTCTCTATTGTCTAATGCACAATAACAGTTCAGCTTCCATATAAGACTTAAAAATTTACCTTATTTTTCTGATGAATTAGAAGCCTTTCATTACATGCCAACATGTGGAGTAGGCAGAGAAAGCCAGACATTAAAAAATACAAACTGCAATGGTTGCCTCTAAAAGAGAAAGTAGACCATCTTAGCATATTGTGTTCTCAATATATACAATGAAGAGTCAATAACAATTAAAACGGGATTCGAAAGTCAAGACTAAAACTGATCATAGATAATTCTCTAGACAGTAAAGGATCCACAGAGAAAGCAAAATGAAATAAAAGCAATGTAATTTTCTTCAAAGAAGCAATTAGAGTTAAGGAAGTGAGAACGGTGGGATTTCATCTTAGCGTAGTAGAAACAGAGAGTTCAGAGCCAGTTTATTTTTCTGTGCTAAGTGACATGTGTTTGAGAATGGAAGAGTCATGGGAGAGGTAGATTAGGGGTGGGGACTGAGGCGATTAAGAGTGAGGACACTGCGATAAGACAGGGCAATAGGCAGTGAATGTGTTTTTAAGAGATTTACACAGATATACATGTACTCAGGAGCATCTTTATGAGCTTTGGGAGACCAGGAGAAAAGAACCATGTCCATCTCATCAGAGCAAGGCTCACGAAGGGTCTGTGTTAAGTTAGAGCTGATCCCAAATAAAGGACCAACCTGAAGGCAGTCTGGGCTAGGAGGGTACAGAAAGAGAGGAAGAGAGCTGAGATTTAGATGATGGAGAGAACACTATTTTGGCTTGACAAGAGTTCTCTGAATGTCACTAGAAGCATGAGAAATCAATACATGAGGTGTTTGGGAGTATTTCTTATTTAAATAAAGAGAGGACATTCTGATAAAAATGAAAAATAATCTCTTACCTGTTCACACATGAAGTCAGCTCTCACATCTGCCCATGAACACTTTCTGATTTACTCATATTTGCAGACTTGATGGTGGAGGCTTTTATACTTGAAGGCAATAGATCTTGAATAACACCATTTCATGTTTCCTCCAAATTAAATTAAATAATGGTGCAAATGTCCTATAAATGCAAAGAATTAAAACAATATGTCTATGCGAGAACAAACTAAGCCTCCTCTGTGATGTTTGGTTTCAGGTTGGCAAATTAATCAAAGAAGCTGCAGGGAAAAGCAACCTGAAGAGGGTCACCCTGGAGCTCGGGGGAAAGAGCCCTTGCATTGTGTTTGCAGATGCTGACTGTGAGTATAAGTCCCTTGCTAGCATCTCACCCTCTTCCTCCTGATGCCTGATAACTTCACACAGGCAGCCAGAGTCTCATATGTGATTTTACTTCAAAGTGTAAGGAATTAACTAGAGTCTGTGGTTATTCTTGAATGCTTTTAAATTGTTCCTTTAGCTGACACAGAGAAGATTTTGTTCTGGGTTGGGATAGATTGTTACTTCCCTTCAATCTGAGATAGTATAAAGGACTGCATCTAGAAGAATATTTGATATGGTTTTGATAATTCCATACCTTTAATTGTATTGAAGACACAAGATTCTTGAGACATTTGGGACCAAAAATAGCCTGGTTGCCAAGTTCCTATTTTTTTTCTCTCCCTTTACTCTGAATCATTCACCTGGTATGGGCCAGAAGAAAATTGAACCTGTTAAATCATTTATCTCTCTCTTTCCATTTTAGGGGTAGTTAAGTTTATCATTTTGATGTGACCTTATTAATAATGATACAGATCATTCTTATTTTACTACCAAATAAAATTCTCATGTGACTTTCTACACAGTGACAGTTTACTTGAAAGTTGTGGTGAAGAATTCCTTTAACCAGCCCTTCAGCTCATCCTTAAAACGAGGTTATAAACAAAAGATCCACAGAATACACTGTTGTCACTATTGGGATCTTTACTGGAAATAGAACTTACTACTTGGTTAGCAAGATTCATAGTTTGTCATTTTGTAAACTCTTCTCACTACACTTTCAGCAACTACAGTTAGCTCACAGATTTATATACAAGTTCTACAATCATAAACTGAGTATTCTTCATTTATAAAATTAAAACACACACACACACACACACACACACACACACACACACACACCCTAAAATCTTTTTTGTTTAGAATCAACAATATTGTAACACAGAACTCTAGACATATTGGACCACCTAAACTATGAGTTTAGTTTGCTTCCATGATTTAGGCTTTAGTTAGATTTTGGAAATATTTTTCCTGGATTAAGGGTGGGAGAATGAATTGTTATGATGTAGTGAGTTTTAGTTGTTTGAGTGTCATTTCCAGAAAGATAACATTTTTTTCCATTGAGCAAAATAGTCAATAATGTTTTGAAATTATTAAAGGCAATAGATAATTCAAATTTATCTTGTCAGCTAGTTAAAACCTGACACCGAAAACAATGTAATAGTCAGAAGAATTATAAAATAGAAGTAGTTATAAAATTATTTGCAATGATACTTGATCTTTTAGTCAAATCTACCTTCTTCAGAAAAATCATAAAAGAGTTTTATTGTTATTTTTAGAGTTCTCTTGTTATTATTTCCAAGGTAATTTGTTACCTGGCTTCAAAACAGTGGAATATATTGAGTAAGTCTATATCTCATTAGATGATTGATCAGCTTTTCTATCACTATATTGCATTTGAGAAACATATATATATATATATATGTGTGTGTGTGTGTGTGTGTGTGTGTGTGTGTGTATTCTTCAGAAAATGTTCTTTCTTTCCTGTGAATGCTTCCTTTGCAGTAGACAATGCTGTTGAGTTTGCACATCAAGGAGTATTCTACCACCAGGGTCAGATTTGTGTGGCAGCTTCCAGGCTTTTTGTTGAGGAGTCAATTTACGAGGAGTTTGTGAAAAGAAGTGTTGAGAGGGCTAAGAAATATGTTCTTGGAAATCCTCTGAACTCAGGAATAAATCAAGGTCCTCAGGTGAGTAAACATTAGGCAAGAATTTTGGATGTCAAAACTAATCTTTTCAGTTCTAATTTAACTTCCTATTCATGCTCATTGTTAGCTGGCATTATTTTGATCTGGTGATTTAATTAATAAAACTTCTAGCAGCAGAGACATCTTTTGTGTTTTGTGTTGGCCATTTTTTTTTTTTTTTTTTTTTTTCTATCTAGAACCATTCTAGGAGCCATGGCGGGACTTAAGCATGGAAAGAAGGTCTGGAGAGATGAATCAGCACATACAAACATTTGTCACAGAACCACAAAGACAAGAGTTCTGATTCTAGCCCCCACATAAGAGCAGTATGTGGGTAGGAGTCCAGTATTAAAAGGGGTGAGCCGGTTAGTTAGACTGGAGCTATGAGTTCAGTGAGAGCGACTTCCCATTAGAAAAAAACTTGAAAACCATTGAGAACGACACTCAGTGTTAACATTTGGCATCCACATACATGTACATGAAACTATGTACACTTTTTCCACATGCAGCTGCATGCATCTGTACATGCATTTGTTCCTATGTATACTCACACACATGAAAACACACACACACACCCTCCACATTCACATAGACATACCAAAAAGAAGGAAAGTTTAAAAATGCTATCATTTTCTGCATTCTTTCTTTGGTAAAATTCTTAATTCCTACATAAAATTTTAAGTTTAGACGTTTGTATACATATCTGTAAATTCTCCCTTATAATCAATCCTTTATCTCAGCTGCCATATTATAAGCAATAGAGCACTCCCCAACTCCCTGCAGGTTCCTCATTTTCTCCAATGCAATGATATCATGTTTTTGAAGGGCCTGATTTCTGGGCTTCAGATAAACTTCTCCTTTTAGTTATCAAAAGCCAGGTATTCCCTGAGGACTCTAGGCTTCTTCTTTATAGTTACACCCACTGCAAATATGAATGTCTTTGTCTCTCTCATCCATATTTAACCTTTTGCTCTTGTACAGCTTTTGTTCATGGTCCCTTGTTCAAGCTCTTGGACCTTCGTAGTTTGCTCCTCTCTCTGTATCCCATAGTTGAGGACACCGACCTTATCTGGAGACACATTAAATTGTCACAATAAGGTGAAAGGGATTTACATCTAGTGAGAAGAGGAAGGGATACTGCTGAGAACAAATCAGGGAATAGGACATCCTCACAGCAATGATCTTAACTGTCCCCAAGTGTCATTAGAGCTGTTTCCAAGAGCTTTGATCTAGGGACTGAACATTGACCTTAGGGGGCTGTTATTCTTTCTCATTAACTATGATACACGGTTACTCACTGTTGAGTTAGACTCAAACTTCATTCTTGAATTATTTTATAAGGGTAACTTAAATTCAATTAAGAAAAAGAATACATTGTTGCCAACTATTCCCTGAGAGAGAAACCTGGCAAAGCCATAAAACCCAAAGAGGACACGGTCATCCTCAGTAGTTTCTCTGGCTATAATTATCTTGGAATAAGGTCTTGGAATTCTCTACTTAGCACAAACATGCAAGTAGAAAAGCCTTAGGATAAAAACAATGCCAAGTGGTGAAACCCCAAAGACAGAAGGTTAACTGTCAAGTGAAGGAACTATTGTGTTGTATCAGTATCATTATATTTCTTACCATTGAGTTCAGATATTATGCAGGGGTTTTTTTTTTGTTTGTTTGTTTTTGGTTTTGGGTTTCTCTGTGGTTTTAGAACTAGCTCTTGTAGACCAGTCTGGTCTCGAACTCACAGAGATCCACCTTCCTCTGCCTTCTAAGTGTTGGGGATTATGTAGTTCTAGATAATTTTCATAACATGTAGTATTTTTTCAAATTTCTATTTGTGTGTATCATGGTCCAGAAAAGTGTATAATTCTGAGTGGTTTTGTTGTTACTGTTTTTCATTCTATATACATAAACATAAAATATGTCTATCATTTTATATATATATATGATTGAGAATATAGAAGACAGGGAGAGTAGATGAATGGAAGACAAATAAATGCTAGACTGATGACAGTGTTACATACTTAGAGGATAGTAAGGTAAAAGAGGGTCCATTGGTATCTGTAATACATAATACTAAACAAGGGTCAATATTTTCCTTCACCTGGAAAGAAATTAGTATCTTCAAAAAGTAACTTTCAATATTTTATAACTTCTAAGAAGAACATATTAAATTAGACTTAAAATATTGAATCATAGAAGTTGAGAGCATACAATCCCATTTTCTAGCTGATTAGCACAGGGAGCCACTCTTTGTAAGTTCATAGCTGATTGTGGCAGGTAGTACTGTATAAGTAGAACATACAGGCATGCTGGGAATTTGACCAACAAAACAACAAGTCTCAGGCATCTCAATCTCTCTCTCTCTCTCTCTCTCTCTCTCTCTCTCTCTCTCTCTCTCTCAAAAGGAAGAGCTTATGCCAAGCGGTGGTGGTGCATACCTTTAATCCCAGCACTTGGGAGGCAGAGGCAGGCAGATTTCTATGAGTTCGAGACTGGTCTGGTCTATAAGAGCTAGTTCTAGGATGGGCTCGAGAACCTCTGTTTCAAAAAAAAAAAAAAAAAAAAAAAAAAAAAACAACAAAAATAGAGCTTATTGGAAGAGACATTGACTAGCATCTCATCCACTGCTTTTTGAGTCACCAAGTCTTTTTTTAAGTAGAGTTTGAGAAAACACATTGTATCACAACCAAACAGGTATGGAAACAACAAAAGCCATAGTATTTGTATAGGAAATATAATTTCCACAGTTTTGGGGATCTTCTTTTTTATGATTACCAACTTACTGGGTTTGAGTTTATAATAGGTGTGTTACTTATTTCATATTACATATTAGAGTTTATATAGGGATAATTCATTTATAAAGACTTTTCTTTTTTACTTCATATGCTTATATGCTTATATGCACATATACTTGGAGTGAGCAGTATTTTCATTTGAAAAAGAAAATTGACCTTTCCTCTACTTAATTATCTTGCCATTAATGAGAACATATAGTAATATCAATCTCAAGGATTCACCACACACTGAAATGAGACAAACCGTGTGGTACATTGACACATGTAGCACCATACTGATTTTGGTGTATATTCATAAATGACTACTAAATTAAAAATTACTAATTCCTTCATTCTTAGTAACATAACCTTCTCGTCTTTGCAGCAATTAGTTTTCTTTAATTTAAAAATTTCAAGAATTTGATGTGAATACATTCTGTTACTCCCGCTTCTCCTCACCATCGCTTCCCTTCCCCCCTCAAGTTAATGACATCTTCTTTAATTATTGCTACACACACAACTACATATTGTGCATAAACATATCCCGCCAAGTGAATTTGCTGTGGCTTGTATGCCTGGGTGTTTAACCTGTCAGGTGGTTTCAACCTCATTTACAATATGTTATCTTTCGCGTTGCTCTTTTCTTGTGTGTGGTTTTTTTTTTTTTTTTTTTTTTTTCCAACTAGATCGACAAGGATCAACATGAGAAAATACTTGATCTCATTGAGAGTGGGAAGAAAGAAGGAGCCAAACTGGAGTGTGGTGGCGGACGCTGGGGGAACAAGGGCTACTTTGTCCAGCCCACAGTGTTCTCCAATGTTACTGATGAGATGCGCATTGCCAAAGAGGAGGTAATGGGTCCACGATGTTCTATTTCTGGGCCTTCCATATTCTTCTGTGTGCCATTCTGAAACCTTCAGCTCCTTGAACAGCATTCCCTGAAGTGCTTGATGATAAAGTCTAAAGTAATTTGTGATCAAGACTGATCAGTGAGGAATGCAATGGACTACAAGAAGTTTCTATCAAACACAGAACAAATTCCACAGCAGCTTCTATAGGTGCTTCATTAACAGCCTTAAAGGAATGGGAAATGACTTTGTCATTTGTAAAAATATGTTCACGTATTATGTTACATATGCCAGGCACTGAACAACATATACTGAATGATCTCAGTTATTTAAAGGAAGGAAGAAAGAAAGAAACAAAGGAAGGAAGGAAGGAAGGAAGGGAAGGAAGGGAAGGGAAGAAAAAAGTCAACCTCACAGGGACAGAGTGGACCATCCAATTAAGGGAAGTGAGAATGAGTCCTGGGGAGTGCAATCTAAGTAGCATCATTAAAATGGTACCCAGATATTCAATGTATAATTAAGAGAAACTAGTTTGTGATTAAAATGGTAGCTAATATACTCCACGTGTTTGAGGGCTTTTGTATATGCAGAGATATGAGCGTTTGCCTTAGACAATGAAAGTGTCATGTATTACAAGAAGATGAAGAGTCCCAAAGGCAATGAATCATAATTTAAACATTCCATATATTTGATGGGAGAGGTCATTCTGTATGTTTCTCATACTGGTTAATAATAAAGCACTGTTGGCCAATAGGAAAGGAAGATAGGAGGGACTAGGAGACAAGGAGGAAATAGGAAGTAGTAAGGAGGAATCAAGATGGAGAGTCTGGAGAAAGCAGTATGCCGCCTGCTCCCTGGTAAGAGAAATACATAGATCAGCAGAAATGGGTTAATAATTAAGGCAGAGCTAGCCGATAAGAAACAAGTAACCAGGCCAACAGTATTGTATCAAATACAGAGTCTCAGTGTATTATTTGGGGCTGGCGGCGCGGCGGCAGGACAATACCAGGCGGCGGGCGGAAAAACCGTACTCGTTACAAATGGCGCCCACGTGGCTAATAAGAACTTCCACTTAAAATTTAACAAAAGCTTAAAAAAGGGTTTTAGAAACAAAAGAACAGAGACAAGCAAGGTTTCTTGGTAGCAGCATTTTTCTCAGTTGAACTCTGCTTTGCTAGAGACAAGCAGATATTCGTGCGGCTCCTTTAAGGGAAGGTTCCTGACTCAGCATAAACGGCAAAAAACCGCACAGCTTTTAAATAACTCTGCTAACAGTTTATTGGTGTGTATGAGAGATGGCAATGGCAGTGACCACATCTCCAAGCCGGCAGCATGCTTTCTGGGTGGCAGCACAGACCAAGGCGGTGAGCACAGCTTTCCGTGCTGGGGGTAATATACCCGCCACCATCTCTGGTAAACCGCGGCTGACACAGCTATGACTTTCATTTTAGCAATGTTGTTGTTTACCAGATAAAAGACTTGTGGCCAGACGAAGATAAAGATTTACAGTAAAGACAGATTCATATTAAGAAAAACCTCTAAAGGTTTACAGTGTGTTTTAAAATATACGTAGACATGAAAAAAAAAATGGTTTTAAAGAGACAAAGAGGAACTGGGTGTTGTAGCACACGCCTTTAATCCCAGGACTCCAGAGACAGAGGCAAGCAGATCTCTGATTTCAAAGTAAACCTGGAATGCAGAGTGAATTCCAGGGCAGATAAAAGTTACACAGAGAAACCCTGTCTCAAAAAATGAAAAAATAAAAGTAAAATAAACAGTAATAATAAAGCCACGTAAAGATGAAAAGCTCAGAGAGAATCTGGTTACTGTATGCTATTGTGTTGTCTCTGCATTGTTTGACTGCTGAGAAAATAACAACAACTGATAAAGGAAATGCTGCTGCATTAATTCAATTTATATATTTTAAAAATGCTTTGACTCCAACATTTAAGTTCAAGGACAAGTTACTGGGGAAAAGGATTTCTATTTTTGTTTCCACAGAAAATGAAAAGCTGTGGATTCCTTCCAGACAATGGTGGTTTGATCAAGCCAGACCCCCTGAAACAGTGTTCCTGGTGATCCAACATTCAAAACAACTTGAATAAGGCAGACTTACAGATTACAGCCAGGATTTCTGCATCTTCTTAGGATCCCCACGACAGCGCCCCCTATCAGCAGGAAGTAGTTTGGAAGGAACGACGCCCAAATTCCCAAATATTGTTTATAAATGTTTGTTGTCATTATTATGGGATTGGTTATAAATGCTTAATGACTACAACCAATCTTTTTAAAGGTAAAAAGGAATTATGGTATAGATATGCATAGTTTGTTTTGGAATGGAAATAATTACAAAGAACAGAAATAAAAATCAAATGTGTTTGGATCATCCACCATACTAAGGTTGTCCGAATCAATTCACTCAAAATTCACTCAAGTGCTTTTGAACTGCTGCACTTATTGACCAATTATTCTTTGATCAGAGCTATTGTTCTTACAGATTTTGGTTAACATGTATACAAAGGACAATAAAGCAGAAAATAATCTTCATTCAACAAAGCATTTATTATGCTCCTGGAATATACTCACTGATAACTCATTTGATGCTTCAGAATAAGAGCCTGGTGCCCACACTGTGCCCACTAAGTTGTTGCTACTCTGAGCAAATCCACCACAGTCCTTTTCCACCTGCTTTCCATTTACAGTGTTCATGCTGTTGTGTTTCTGTGTTACAGAGTCATGGCAGAAATTAGAACCCTATGAATCTGCCCCCAATCTTCAGGGAGTGACCACTAATTGCACCATGAAATTCAAATTGACTTGGAACCAGAAAACCATTTGAGGCTTGAAGGTTTTTGCCAATCCATGTTCCCATTTCCCAGGAAATGGTACTAGTGCTCAGAAAATCCCTTTATTTCATCTTGAATATAGTAGTTTCATGTCTATGTGAAAACCCTGTTGTTTTCTATTACTTGGGAGGTAAGATACAGACTGGGTTTAATGAAAGGTTGGCTCACACTGGATTAGAAAAGCTGTGACTCTTATTTCCTATCTTGTGACTCTAGCCACTTCCAGAGACCTCAGGGTTTGGTTCCTATAGGATCTGGGTTTAGGCTTCCAGTAATAAGTCTTCTTTTCATTTTTTGCTTTTTGGTAATTCTGTATATGCTTTGGTGACTAGTAAAACCTGGATAAAAATGTTGTGCTGTTTTAGCTCATTTTTATAATTATATAAGTACCCAAATATAATAAGGTGGATGATATTTGAATCAATGATATTCTTGTGTTGAAAGCATAGACATTGTTCTCAGTCATTGTCTATTTGTTACTCTTAGAGCGAAGGACTGCTTTTTTCACTATGCTTCCTTGTGAAGTAACTTGAACAATGAAGAAAACCAGGCTTAGGTTTTAAGATGTTTCCAAGGAAGTCATGTACTTATGATTTCATATTTAGTCCTTGCATTTTGGGCAGCTCTGTTACAACATGTAGGATGAGATGTTGCAATGAAGACTGGTGTCTGTTCCACAGAGAAAATAACACATAAGCAGAGCATTTTTTCCTTTTTCCCTGGCCATGACCACCTGTTTTGATCCTTACACGTAGATCTGAAGTGAGAGATAGCACTTTCGACCATGTAGAGTGGATTCTAGAGAAACATATGTGGTATATTTAAAGCATGAGTGTTAACAAATCTGTTTCTTTGTGTGTGTGTGTGTGTGTGTGTGTGTGTGTGTGTGTGTGTGATTCTTTCTATGTAGATATTTGGACCAGTTCAGCAGATCATGAAGTTTAAATGTATAGATGATGTGATCAAGAGAGCGAACAATACTACCTATGGCCTAACAGCAGGAGTCTTCACAAAAGACCTGGATAAGGCCATCACTGTGTCTTCTGCTCTGCAGGCTGGGGTAGTGTGGTAAGTTCATCTGAAGTAAGGTATGCCCTTCCTGTATCAGCCACATGGATAGGCTGAGTTGACCTCCTCTAGACTTGAATATTCATAGAAATTATCTGACCTGTCATAAAAATAGTTTCTGTAAATGAAAAATAACAACAAAATTCCATCATGTTAGTATAAGTAATGATCAACATGGGGGTCTTTTTCTTTTTCTTTTTTTTCTATGACAAAAGTACTGGTAAATTCAGTGTTACTAACAAACACATATTCATATTTTATATTTACTAACTATGACAAACTCTATCCCATGTATGTTTATAAGTCATCTATCAGAGGTCAACAACAGCTCTATAAAATATAGATCTCTGCATTAGCATTAAAATAATTGTTCATGGCCTGCAGAACATTCCAGTTACCTCTCTCCCATTGCCTTTGTCTACTACTTCTCTTGAGTTCTGTCACATTCTTTTTACTGTATTTTTCTTTACAAACATCTTAAAAATATTTCTAAAAGCTAATTATCAGATTGATAAGTGGGACCAATTCCTGTCACCACTTCTGTTTAAACAATCTCTTGACCAATGATTGGAACAAATGTTGTAGAAACACAAAATAATTTCTAAAGAGAGGTGATTTTCAACTGCTAAGTGTATAAACCTCAAGAACACCACAACGTCATGTTATGAGCAGTTTTCCTACCAGTGTGTTCCCAGAGCCACATCAGCTCCAAAATAACACACAGAGATACTATATTAGATATAAAGTTGTTGGCCTGTTGCTAGTGTTTCTTGGCTAGCTCTTAAATATTAATTCATTTCTATTCATTTAAGTGTTTCCACATGGCCTCATCTCTTCTACTACATCTCCCAGAATCCTCCTTGTCTCCTAGTCCCTCCTATCTTGCTTTCCTATTTGCCAACAGTGCTTTTCTCATTAACCAATAAGAAACATATTTACAGAATGATATCTCCCATCATCTCATCTTCTCTAAAATAAAAAGAACGGTTTTAACTTTAATATAGTAAAATATATAACAAAACAGTTATAAAATAAGAACTATTGTTAACAATATTTAGTTATTAACATTTAGCAAGATTTAAAAAAAATATTCCATCTTCTATCTGATCTTTGTGAGTCTAAAGTCTTATATGTAACTTATCTTTAATTCTAACTAAGCAAAACTATAACCATAACTGTCTTCAACTCCCTCAAAGACCACAAAAGGATAATATATAAACTCTAGAAATGATAGAGACATCTTTCTACCTGGTCAGTCACCTGAAGTTCTGTAATGTTCCGTTCTTCAGCCTCTAGGCCATAGTGTGTCTGGCAGACTCCTCAGCAAGGCAGGAAAATTTAAATGTCCACCTTTATTGGCAGTTTGTCAGTCACTTTTCTCTGTGTCCTGTAGAATGTCTAGCAGACTCTTCCATCAAGCAGGAATCCTGTTATCAATGTCCATCTTGTTTCAGCAGTCACTTTTCTGTGGATCCTGCATGTCCAGTTTATATAGCATAAAGTCAAACAGTCCAGACAAGAGCAGTTTCTTGCTCAAATGGCTAGTCTTGTCATATTGGGAATAAACTCCATAATGATTTTCTTCAATATCCATCTTCCTTTCTGACTCAGGTGGTATTGCCAGGAGCAGTTATGTCTCACTGTCAAGAAAAACCCTAAACCATTTTAAAATACTTCTGTAGGTCTTTGAAATGGTTGAAGAATATTTATCCATCTCAAATATATCTCTGTATATCTAGAAATCCTAACATAGCTATAAGTTTTGACTAGTATAGGTAACCAACTATAATATGTACTAAATTATACATTACATTGTTTAAATGAGCTATATAAACACAATACCTAAACAAGAGGAGAAATATACATATCACAAAATTGACCTTAAATTTGTATCAATAAATGAAAATCCAGTCCAAAATAATGTATTCATTTCTATGACATAATCCCCTTTTTACCTTTAAAAAGAGATTGGTTGTGATCATTAACCATTTATAACCAACCCCATTTAAATGAAAACAAACATTTATAGACAAAATTTGGGAGTTTGGGCATCATTCTTTCCAAAGTACTTCCTGCTGGTAGGGGGCACTTTCTTGGGGATCCTAAGAAGAAGCAGAAATCCTGGTTCTAGTGGTCTGCAAGGCTGCCTTGTCCTAGCTATTTTGGATTTTGCATCACCTGGGCCATTGTTTCTGGGGGTCTTGGTTGATCAAGCCATGTTAGTCTAAAAGGAATCCATAGCTTTTCATTTTCTGTGGAAACAAAATTTTTGCTATGAGCAGTTTTCTTGCCAGCCTGGTCCCACAGCTGCATCAGCCCCAAATAACACACAGAGATGGTGTATTAGATATAAATCTTAACTATTCACCCATTTCTATTAATCTAAGTGTTTCCACATGGTATTATCTTACCAGAGAAAGAGTGCAGACCTCTTCTCCCAAGTCCCTACATCTTGACTCTTCTACTACCTCTCCCAGAATCCTCCTTCCTAGTTCCATCTATCTTGCTCTCCTATTTGCCAACAGTGCTTCATTCATTAACCAGTAAGAGAAACATATTTACAGAATGACATCTCCCATTGACTTTATTCATGTAAGGCATTAAAGAACACCATTCAATCTCACCCTCAGACATTTTCTCTTATATATGAGTATATATATTCATACTCATTGTTGTGCCATTTATTTCTAGGTAATCTAGATGCCTTCTGCATTCTAAAATATAGTGCTGCTTTTAATCTCAGTGATCATATTAGATTGAAACAAAGGAGTTCTCAAGGAAATTTCTGAATTTTTAAATTTCCTGCTTAGAAATTATGGGATGAGTTAAGTATTATCTATAGTAGCCACCTCTTCTTTGTTTTAGGGTAAACTGCTATTTGACTCTTAATGCTCAGTGCCCCTTTGGAGGATTCAAGATGTCTGGAAATGGGAGAGAAATGTAAGTTAAGCTTTATATTACAATAAGCATATATTTTGTGATAAGGATTGGCACTCTCAGGAAACTGTTCTATTTTAACTACTTTGGGGATAAAGTCCACCTATTTTTAGTACCAAATAATTATTTAAATGTTGGAAGTACTTCTTTAGTGCAGAAAGGCAATAACAAATAGAATATACCTTATTAAGCTCCTACTAACCATACATGACCATTCTAATAACCCCACCTTGGTAACTAAATTGCTTCCTGTTTTTAGGATTGCCCATTGTATATATGAATAGAAGCTAGTTGGGAAACACTCCCAGAAACCAGGTTCAGGGTAAACTGGTAATATTGAGATGAATGTAAATAAATATTGAAATACTCTAAATATTTTAATATATGTCTTAATAAATTATAGTTGCCTTATCTCAACCTGATATGCTTATGGTGAAATCTACCTAATAACTATGATGCATCTGTTAAATAAGGCATTTGTTGTAAAATATCCCCAGAGAATTACTGACTCCTCCCAAGAGCTATGAGTTATTTTCAAAAGCAGAAAAGCAGAATTAACAAATTTGGAAACTCAGATGAATTTGTATTCTCTTGATTGTATGTGTCAAGTCAGTTTAGCAAAGGTTTCCATGAACCTTCATTAAGGCTCATTTCTCTGCAGATATAGCTTAGTCTCATACTGTTTCATGTGTTGTGTGGACTGTTATGAGAAGCAGAACTGTTATGTGCAGGCTTACTAGAGCTCCTCCAGATGTGCTCAATCAGAATCAACATTTGATGAAAGCCCCAGAGTATTTAAATACAAAAGACTTAGAAGTCAGAAATAGCAACATAGATTTTTCTTAGCTAAGGAAAAATGTAAGGAGATTGATGCTCTTGTGGTATATGCTAAAGTAATATATGTACAGTGTTTCTGAAAAAGATGCCTTAGGCCAGCCTTGATGTGACAATACATTTAGAACTGAGAGTGTCCAGTGCCTTAGTAACATTAAATACAATGGGAACCAACTTGGTCAAAATTATGAGCTAGTTTGTCTGTATTTTTTAGATGAACTACTTATTAAAACAATATATTCAATGGACTTCCAACAGCTGGATGAATCTTTTTAATTATGTTGAAAAACATAATTTTGAGGTTTACAGAAGTTTAAATTATTCACAAAAACAATCAATATAAGGGGATTGTTGATGGCTGTCTGTGAAGAAGAAGAAGAAGAAGAAGAAGAAGAAGAAGAAGAAGAAGAAGAAGAAGAAGAAGAAGAAGAAGAAGAAGACAACATCTATGTCTATATACACAACTGTTTCAGGAGCAGGGCTGGAAGAGAATCATCAAATCAAGCTCTTTGGCAAACCCATCTGTGTATAGGTTTCATGATCCTGGGAACAGTCCTGTATACATGTAATATGATCTTATCTTAACAATGTAGAACACAACTGAGTATAGTCTTTCTAAATTAAATAATTCACCAGGTGGAAAGACATCATGATTTCCAAAATTGGCCTCAGGTAGAATCCTAATAAGTTACTGTGGTATCTACAGATGGACTCAAGTCAGCTTCTGGTCACTTGGGGCTGATTTGAAAAAATATTAAGTGTATAATAGGACATTGAGTAACAGAGAAATCCAACATCTTCTAAAACCTGAAAAGCCTGGATCAGATCAATTTTAAGTTTCTTTCCTCTTTTAAGAATACACATGTTATGAGTAAGGTATTTTCCTTGTCGGTCTTGTCCCTCTGCCATGCCGGAGAGAGGGGCTGGCGTTCTTCTCTTTGTTCTCCTCCTTACTATTTCCTCTCTCCTCCTTGTCTCCTAGTCCCTGCTATCTTGCTTTATTCATTAACCAATATGAGAAACATATTTACAGAATGACATCTCCTATCATACACAAGCAATCCAAAAACAAAACAAAAAGAAACAAAGAAACAAAAATCCCATCTACAAAGATTAGGAGTTTGTTTGGCCCAGAGTTAAAACTGCAGCTTTGGAAGATCAGAGCACCCTGACAGAAAGTGCATCTTGGTAATTTTCTAACGTCTCGCTACTCCTTTGACAGTGGATGGTGAATGTAGGCGCTAGTGCAGCTGG